CAACCTAAACAAGGTTTGAAGAGGGGAAGGGTTAAAGAAATGTCTTTCAGATTTGTTCACCTACTTTGATATGTTATCCCATCACATGCTCTCTACGTCTTTTCTCTCCTTCAAACAGTGGACGCAAGTGTAGTTGGCACAGTTCTTATTCGTGTACACTCGGTAGAACGTGAACGAACGCGTCGTTCCTGGAATTCTGTGAATCAGGATATCATTCTTTGCTCTTTTGTTAACCTGCTTTTCACCGAAGTATCTTCGCCCAACTTAGTGCACTGAGTCAAGGGAAGTTGTTGCGTCGAATGTGCCTGAAAAGAGAGAATCTGAAAATTCGGAACTCTGGGAGCTCACAGGTGGAGTAGATGAATAGAGGGAAGTGTGGGTGTGACACTAGGGGGAGCAGGACTCTGAAAGGGGGCAGAAACGAGGCCGGTGAGAGGCGTGAAGGTGCAGGAGAAGGGAATGTGGGGGGCCTGAAACGGAATAGGTGAGAGCTGCGGAGAGGCTGGAGAAAGGAATGTAGAAGGCTGAAGCGGGGTCGATGTAAGCGACGAAGGAGCTAAAGAGGAGGATATGGCGCTTCGAAACGAAACTGGTGTGAGCCGGGGAGCAGCCGGAGAAGAGTATGTAAGAGGCTGAAGCGAGGCCGAAGAAAGCGGGGTAGGAGCTTGAGAAGAGGAAGTAAGATGATGAGTAGAAAAAAAAACAACGAAGAGAGTGGCATAGATGAAACTTGAGCTGGTGTTGTAGGAGTTTGTAATGGTGTTGAATCGACATACAATGAAGGAGCAGTTACATGAATGGTATGATAGTAAATATTGTTCGATCCGTAACCGAAGAGGTACAGGGGAAGGAGCCACCTGAAACGATGTATAAGTCATGAAATATGAAAGGTTAGGTGCTTCCATAGAAGTGCCTTGGAGCTCACTAAAAGGTGTACGACGAAGTGAAGTTGAAGCCTGGAATCATGCTTACGCTAATCATAAGACGAACACTCACGAAACGTGCTTCATGACGCCTTTAAGCACAAGTTTGAATACCTGATTATCTGTTCTTTTAATTGGGTGTTAGGCTCACGAGGCTTAAAGTTCCTGAGGAGCGGTCATGCCCTTTGAACTTTTTTTAGGCGATGTCCAAGTTGTTTATTCTCACATCAAAGAATGTATGAGTTCTGTCATAACTAGGCAGTGTTGAGAGGTCAGCTGTGAGCTCAAGCAATTGGGCGAGTCACTCCACAGGCAGGTCTGGGAGAGGGCGAGGCACATTACTGTAACCCCTTGAGTGGCTTACCGTATACAGTTATATTCCAAGTTCACAGACCCATGATAAGGCAGTCATCGATGTAGCGGTAATATAGGATTGGGCCACGGTCCAGCACAGGCTTTTCAATAATCAATATGAACGCTACGGCCATCACAGGCGCTAGTCGTTGCCCCATAGCCAAGCCCCGTAACTGCTTATAGTACTCGCCCGCCCATCTGAAAAAGGAACATTCCAGGCACTCTGCCAAGATCGTCATCACTTGCGCGATCGTGAACTATGGAGCTTCGGGTCTACGCTCGGTTAAAAGTACTTGGTGTGTGGCCTCCAGCGCTGCATCATTCGATCCATTAGTGCATAGGGATGTGACGTCGAATGATTCCATCACACATCCCTCCTCAAGGCTAGCACTGGACAACATATTGAGTATCATGCTATGTGTTGTCCGAGTGGGATGTGGCCGGAGGAGTCTGTCCCAAAATAGAGTGAAATCCTGGAGAAACCAGGACATTTTGCTCCGTAGGGTCCCCACAATGCGGGCTGATCACTCGTTCTAGTGCCGCGCCTCATTTCGAAGCGCCGTCAGCATGGCAACTCGTCGTATTGCGGTTAGCGCAGGCTAGAATTCGATTGTCATTAGGATAAAAGTTGAAGGATTCTTCTTTTGGCTCACAAGAACTTGATAAGGCAATCAACTAAGGCTGCCGCAGCGCAAGACAGATGTATATTGCGAAATTCTCCGAAAGGAATATAAAACGGAATATTTGAAAGGCTTGAAGAGGACAATTTTGGTGCAGTGTGGCAAAGACTACTGAGGTATTCGACTACTCCGACAGTCCACGAACGAACTTCCGACAATTTGACCTTTTTGTTTGCCTTTCATTTCCTAACATGTGAGAGCAAGATCGACCCGATCAATTATGCGTCGGTGTGTTCTACAAGACGATGTAAGGGTCGAAATCCCTCAATACACCGTTCAAAGGCATCTTATTCGCAATCCGTATGATACCGTATGCGACACCCCTAACTGTGTGGTATGTCCTCATGCCAAAGAGGGTGACTGCATGAAGGTGGGAGTGATCTACTCAAAACGCTGTAAAAGTTGTAAAAGCGAGTATATAGAGAAATCAGGCCGCGTCCTGTGCGTGCGGGTTAAGGAACATCTGGACGGGTTGGGTAGATCACAACACACACACTCCCTTAAGGAGCGCATCGGGTTATACACCACGCAGGTTCATCGTTTGGCGTTTCGTGTCCATATTGGCGCTGGAACCCGAGATCGCGGCGCGCAAGACGCTGGAAGCATTTTGGATCACTGCTAAAGACCCTCAAATGAACAGGAAGGAGGAGTGTGTGGCCATAACCCGCGAACTCGCACCCTTCCTCGACCTTTGTAACCTTTGATCTACTAGGGGAGGTCAGTGGGAGGTACTACTGATTACCACATACTAAGCGAGCAAGTTACACATGTTTTTGACCATTTCAGGCTCTGACGAAGCGAAGAAGCCGAAACGCAAGCCTAGTAAAAAGTGCAATCTTGAAAGGATTGAAGCATCATTCCTACTGAACTAACCATGCCAAGATTGCAAGAAGGTCGAACATGGACTATGATCTAAGAGATGGGACGGGAACATATTTGACGGGGACCAGAAAGTGGTAATGCCTGATAGGAGCAGATAAGGACCTTTGAAAGACAAATGTCACTGAAGTTCTTATCCAAATGTGGGATGAGAAAGACCCCATTTCTGTGCGATATAGTGGTGATCCATTCGACCGCTAATCTTCCCGAGCTGCTTAAATGGTCTGCGTCTGTGAAAGTACGATTACTATTGGTATTTCTATCTCATCACTGGCACAAGAAGTTATTCGGACCACTCAACCATCCCAATATCTGAAGCATGGTGATGTTTACGCTGTGGGCCTATAATAACCAGCCAAGTAATTGTATTAGTATCCAATGCTCATCCTGCTGCTAGGCTTTGTTACCTCTAGAAAAATGATGTGTGTTTACTGGTATTGACCAACTTGAAAAATTAGTGCTTTATCATCTCATTTCATTTATAAACATCGGTTGAATCCTTCGAAAGCAGTATGCCGCTCAGTACAATAGCCTGGCCATGCTCAGTTTGAGCCTCTGTTGAAATGCGCGCGATAGCGGGCGGAGCAAAACTGGTATTATTATATTCCTTGTATTGATGTCAATAAAACCCAATCTTATCTAGATTGGTTGTTTTTAATGAGATGCGAATACAGCTTGTTCCTTCAATGCAGAGCTGTTTTCTGGATTCTTTTCCTAGGAATGTAATGAGGAAAATATATCGTAGCATCGCTAACGTGGTCGGTGTGATTAAGAAGTGAAGCGATGCAGAGCCAACCGTTCTTGGGAGATTTCCCAAAGAGGAGTGTATTTGCAACTACTTGTGGAAGGAAGTCGTTATTGGATTTTGACAGATGACTCGCTATGCTAGTGAAAGATACCGCGTTTGTATAAAGGGTTCTATTTATTTATTATTTATTTTATTTTATTTATTTATTTATTATCATACGTCTACCTATTGGTAGGTATGAATAAATAAATAAATAAATAAAATAAATAATAAATAAATAAATAAATAAATAATAAGGGTTTCCAAAGTGGCTAAAATCTGCATAATGGCGGTGTAGAACTGGCGTTCTGTTAAGTTTTATTACCCCTTTCCTACCGTTACGCCCACTCTACGACACTTTTGAGGGGCATTGCCAAAGATGTCTGGGAAGCTCTTCTTTGATACTGCACTCACTCCACGTAGTAGACTGGGCATCCGCACCAGTGCAGTTCGCATGCGGGAGGTAAAGGAAACTTAACGGCTGTTTGGAAAAACTCTGATAAATAAGAAATCCACACAGCATCCCAATGATTTTATTCCAATTTTTGTTTTATACAAGACTCTTCCACATCTGAACTTGAGTGACTAGAAAAAACCAGGATTGAATCATTATTACTATGGTTTCTTTTCTCACGTTATTTTTTTTGGTCTAACCATGGAAAAAATTCAAAATGATGTCATTCTATGCACAATATTAATACGGCAAGCTTAGTAATAGAGGTGGGAGGAGTCTGTGGGTCTGTGAAGAGAAATAGAACGCAACACCAAACAGAAGCTGCAGATCTCGAGACGAGAGCAACACAGGAAAGCAATAGTGAGCTTACAGGTCATTTAAAAATACTACAGAGGAAAAAAGAAATGAAAATTCAAAAAGTGCTTTCATTTTGATGAGCAAAGTCACACTCGTCAATGTGCACGCTAAAGAATATATATTGATTGAAGCTATATTAATCAATAAATTCTTAGTGTGTGCACTGCATAATGCGTCTCCACTCAACGAAAATGAAAATAAAACAAATCGAAACTAAATGCCATCTACTCAACTTTTAACGAGACAGTGAATTCAGTGTTTTACAAAAGGTTGCACAATGGTAAACTAACGCTCACAAAGATATAGGCGACGAAGCCGAGTATTTCGAACATAACTAGCCAATATCCCTCAACCTCATAGGCTCCTGCGTCTATATCAGAGTTTTTCAAAAAATCTCACCTCAAAACAACACACGGAACGTCTAACTCCCGATAAACATCATAAAAACTGAATACGTGAAAACACCATCATTTAATGGAATCATTGAGAATATGATTTTTTTAATGAACAGTACATGACTGAAAGGAGAATGAATGAATGGTCTTTTTTTAAGTACAATACAATAATTAGCAAGTATTAACAGCAGTCACAAAACCTTGCCGTTCAAGAATGCGAAGTCTTTTCTCGACAGCGTTCTTGTAACGAGACAGCACGTTACGATCCTGATCACTATGGACTTGTTCTGACAACGTATGCAACATCATATAAGCCGTTTGATACCTGCAAAGAATACAAGCAAATAGTGATTCCTTGTAATATACAATAAGGATGCAACTACAGTCCATATCTCCAAGTCAAATAAGGCGTTTGGGGTTTTGACGTGGCCGTCGTCCGCACTTGAAAACCGTGTGGATAAGCTGTTTCTAACATACTCCGCTGGATATCAGCAAAGCATGCTGGAAGCAGCTTATCCGCGCAACTTCTATCAAGTGCGGCGGCCGCCACGTCAAATCCGCAGACACGCCTAATCTGACTTCGAGATATGGAGTATACAACATCGCTGGCAATATAGCAGGCGATAGCAAATGATAATGACAAAACAAGCAGCTCGTTTCGCATAATCCATTGCAGACACTGAGACAGCTCGAGACTATTCGTCTCAAAAAGCGACATGGGATCTGCAGGTAGGGGTAGATGTAGGAGAGGAAAAGGGGGAGAGAGGGATAGAGAGGAAGGGGAAAACGACCGTTCACTCCTAAGTAATTGACAAGCACAACTTCCGCGTGCCGTACCCCCTTCCCTTTGTGAGGGCTGAGTCGAAGGGTGCAGCATGATAACACCATAAGTGACGAGTTTTCTATTAGATAGAAATACTAAAAACAGGATAATATCTTCAGGACATAAGGAATGAGGCAATACGCCGAAGTGAGATCATCGCGTGGGTGGTGACGGAATAGACATCTTACTGCGGTCTCATGACGGATAAAGCAGTATGCTGCGAACGAATAAAAATGGCAGTAGTCGTAGCTGTAATTCCTCAGCCCTTATCGACCATTTTCTAGTAGCGATAATGCCACGATTCTTTTGCTTAGCGAGACTGCTACCTTACTCGCAGCGAGCTGCTATCAAATCGTGACCAGTGCCTTTAAGTGTACCGCGTCTGCTGTGATCACTTGGGAGCATGAATTAAAAAAGAAACGAGTAATCAAATTCAATAAGGAACAGCTTCATTATTGTCGATCCTTCCGCTCAATTGACTATGAGACTGCCTTACGCATTCACATGATACGGTCAACACAATATGTGGGAACAATGTAACAAATAGGAAATTTTCATACTACTTCATGCGTGAGACATAACGCTAACTTGCAAAATAATTACAAGCTTAGTAGCCACATAACCAACCTTTGACTACACAGTTGTGGGTTTCCGAATAACTCATCCAATGCTGCCGTCTGACAGAGCTCAATAGCGTGTTTGTACATGATTCGCTCTGCTGAAATAACTGCCATTGCCGGATCTTGTCCGGGCAAACCGAGTGACGCCAACTCCTGGGACCTCACCTGAACATCACTTTTATTATTACCATGGCGAGGCGAGTAACATTGAAATAGAGCTCAAAATAAATAGAACCAGCTAAAAAAATAAAGTGCTTCTCTCTTACCAAACACTGGTGATATTTGTCGTTGAGAACGTTCAGAACATTCTGAACTGCTGGCGAGGGATGGAGTACTCGACTGGCAACATTGCGTTGAGCCAGCAACAACGCAGACGATAACATATGCAATGCTCGTACATAAACGACCAGTTGCTCTGCACGTCTGAACGCAGACGATGGCTCGGCCTAAGAAATGATCTGTAGGTATGAAAAATGATGTCAAGTGAGATGTTTTGATAAAGTACTGGAAAAATTCAGCACCAGAGCAGGGACGATGTGAAAAATGCATATATGTTTATGAAAAGATAATGCTTACTTTTCTGTTGGTCATTGCTGCAACCAACGGATTTTCCTTCTGTTCAGCCACTTGTACTAAGGTGTCCACCAATTCCACAACGAACCGTAACTTGGCCAAGATCTTAAACACGACATCTTTAGGTTTGAGTCATCACTAGCAACTCCAAAAAAAATAAGAATAGTCCAAACAGAATGAGACAAAAGAGGCAATAATAAGAACATCACAACTCATGTTCAAATAACCTCGCTCCTCTAATCACACCTAACATTCGCACTACATCTCTAACCAAACCATACTCCAGAGCGGTGCTTGAATCTACCAATTTTTGAAAATAGAGAATGGATGTTCATGATATGAATTCATAGCGAGAGTGGTGTCGCGCGCACGGCATTTGGAAAGTACCGTATAAAATCATTCTCGTACACGCCCACATTTTGATCCTGGGGAAAATTGATTGCTTAGAAGTCTAAATACCCCTTCCCTTTTCTTCTATTTTTCCCCTGTTTTTTTTTCTTCAAAAAGCACAAACCGCAAACAAATGAAATTCAAGATCCAAAGAGGCATTTGGCCAACTATGAAACTTTTTGAAGTCGTAGCATAAAATAAACTCTTTTGAAGGACTAAAAATGGATTAATTGATTTGACGCGTGTGCAAGGCCGAGTCAAGTAAATAGGAAAAATGGATGTCGGCGCAGCCCACACATGAGAAAGGCTATAAAATACATTCGCCGTTCTCCTTGCCTTCGTTTCTGTTAAGACAATGGCGACCGTACGGCCGCCAGGGAGGCTACACGAAACAGGTGCTGTGGAACCGTAGGGTCCGCCGACTAGCCACGGCGAAAAAATCTTCAATGCTCAAGTTCACATTTTTTTTAGTTTTCAATGAATGATTAGTAAGGAGCCCCTTCCAAAAACCACGCAGTGGTACGAAAACTGCTTGCGTAACAAAAAAAAATTAATAAAGATTCCTACTAAAAATTTTTGCATTATTGACAGGATTATTCTGGAAAAGCTGAAATTCTGAGTCTTTTCACTGACCACTGATGTTTCCTTCTCGATCAATTACATAACTGGCCTATAACATGAATCACTGAAAAAGGCACTCTTTAGCCAGCACTGTTTTACACGAAGGGTTACGGAATCGTGCAGACCGCCAGCTGCCGCCGCATCGCGCGAAAATCGCGCGTGGTCCCATGCGCTAGACACTGTTAGATTGGTAGGCGTCAATGGATTGAAAAACAATCCTATTGAAAATAAAAGGAACAGAATGCCAAACAGTAAACGTAGTGGGAGAAACCCAGACAAGAAAATCCGCACCTGTTTATGCTCTTCTTCCATGACAGTTTCCTGCTCAAGGTTTCCTGGTGACGCGTCGTCACCGTCATCTTCTTCTGCACGATGCTCAAATAACGAGGGGGCACGCGGTAGACTCTAGAATTTGACGTGGTTACATATTGAGAGCCGCCACTATTTATACTTATAATTAGCAATAAAATTCATTCTGCTTACTCCGAGCGCCGGTGGAGCATTGGAACCGGAAGGATGATGTGGTGACGACAACGAATCGGAAGGATCTGCTACATCCATTGACAGCTCACTTCCCTCTTCACCAGAAAGGCAACTTTCCATCGCCTCCGATTTGAGAGATTCTGAAAAATCACTGATTTGGGCAGCTATCAAAATAACCAGAAATGAAACGAAAAATATGCTATATGTTCAAAATAAGTTACCCAAAATGAAGAACATTTTCTGGCTAATAGTTAATACAATAAATGACAGCTTCATTCTGCCGAGATTCTAACCCATCGTTTTTAAGAACGCTAGGGTTTATAGCGTACCTCCATGATCTGTTCCTCCGAATGGCAATTTGAGAGAATGATGCATTGTGTCGTCTTCGTCATCACTTATATCCCTGAAACAATGAGATAAATTAGAACATGTTGCTGTTTCCAGAGATGAAAGTAACAAAGCAGACGTAACTGTGAATTATAGTACATTAATTCCACTTACAACTGAGACGGCACAGCTTGATCGGCACGAGTTTCAGGAGGTGAGGCAGACAAAAACTTAGCGTTGTCGAGCTGGGCGCTATTCGTTTCCAACGCATCCGGTCGACTCAACTCCACGACTTCCGTTTGTGGTTTGGCTTCTGATTGTGCTAAAAATTCCACACTCGGCGATTGCTACAAACAATTGGACAGAAAGCAAAATAAAACATTCTACTGTATAACAAAAAACTGACCACTTTCCAGAGCTTTCTCTGGCGCGGGAGCAGGAGACGATTCCTCAGTGAGTTTCCGTTGACGGTTCCGTTCAGCCATCGATCTGCGAGCCGCCGCTCCTCGTACGATAAACTGAGCTGAAATTAAAGAGAAATGGAGGGCAGTCATGAGGTGCAGCAGGAAGGAGCATTGCACAGTAATCAATTTCGTGGAATTAGGGCAATAAAAACAAATAAATGAAAATGATAAATGTATTGATTAACACACTGCGCTCTGCGTACACCTCCATGTAGTAGCAGAGAGATTAGTTTAACCTTTCTTTTTCAAAACTGTGCCCAAATCACCAGGCTTATGAAGTTGCTTATTTTTACTTACAGAAATGTTGACAGATCAATAGTGTTGACAAAAGAATATAAAACAATGTGGAGATCTACGCAATACGGTACTACACATGTCAATATTAAGGTGGAGAAGACAAACAAACACTTACTTGATGGCAGCGTCATACTTTCAACAGTTGGAATTGATGGCGGCGATTCACCAGTTTGACCTGACGTCGTTCGCTTAAGCGAAGACACTCCCCGTACTGACGGCGAAGGAATCGCTGAGCAAGACTCATTTTCACCATCTTTGATTCCTAGTCGCCGTTCCTAAAGAAAGAAAGCATGAAATGGGGACTTCTATGAGTACATTCGCATTGGGTAGGATGAATAAAGCAAAACCTCGATCTTTGTGAAAGCATTTCGTTGACTTGGAACCGGAACAGCTTTCACTGGAGCCGTCGGCATTTGAGACGAGGACGTATGCACTTGCACCTATTTGGAAACTAATTGACCAGACATTCCACGGAAAAGAACTTGTTTGAAAGTTATTTTTTGCATGCTCTGCTGTATTGTAGCGATGACATTGAAATGAATCAAACAATGGGATGACCATCACGGGAGAACAGCAGCTGATACTCGAATGTCTCCCATCTTTCACCATTAGCACTTCTCAAAGCTTGAACTATTTTGAAACCATGTAAAGTTAAAATATTAAAAGGGAAAATAACTTAAAAAAAAACTCAAAGTAACTGCGTGGAGGAAAGATGTAAAGAACTTAGAGACACAGGGAAAAATCTAAATGAAGCATCTCTACACTTAAGCTACTGTATTACAAACATAATAGACCCAAAGAGTGGTTACCAAACGGTACCAGATAACAAAAAGTAAACATTAGCGCGTGACTGTGAGACCAACATTACTAATTCGTGAGTTCATTTATCAAAAGGTGGTAATTGATAGACTTGCTGTTTATGTTTCGGAATCAGTGCAAATCAAAAAAATTGAATCAGATGCTTTAGTAGTTCTTGTAGAAAAGAAAATATGATGATGAAAATGTCATTAACATTACGAAGTAGCTTGCAAAAGCTTTTCAGTGTTTCTATTTTTTTCGAATGATTTTCTCATCAAAATACGTCGGTAGAGCCCTTCACAAACTGCTTCTCAAGATAGGAGGTAGTGCACCCCATCATCCTTTTAAGCACAGTTTTAGGATTTTTCTCTCAATCCTTGGTGACGTTGCGGGTCAAAGTGGAGACGCTCCTTTTTACCACGTGGGACAATGCGGCTCGATGCGGGAACGCACACAGCTAGCCTTCTGCGCAGAATATGCAGAATTATTACGATGGCATATTAATCAGGAAAGCACTATAGAACTTTTGATAGTCATGATCCATGCTTATCCTTTTCAGTTGGTGTTTCATCCAAAAGGTATTTGAAAGTGATTTTCTGATGTAAACTTGTTATTTTTAAAGGCATACAGCTGGTTTCTGGCTTGCATTAGCTTGAATATTGAGACAACTTTTCAATATCTGAATCCAATTCCATTTACGTATTCTGTAGTGGAAAACTGAACTTTTTTTGGCTTCCTCCGATCTCCCCGGGCCAAACGAAACGATACACGCTTGCTTCGAAAGCGATCGAAAAGATTCTTTGACATGTGCAAAGTCTCGACAGATTCTGACTTGCGATCCAACACTTTGGGTGCAAGTTGTTCCCAGCATTATTTTCGAAAATAGAAAAATAAGGTACAGTCCTACGCGGCAGACACGCAAAAAATCGCATTGGCGCTAATGGGTCAAACATTCTTTGATGATATAACAAGCTGTTCACAGATTTATAAAAAAAATTGTGGTCACATTTATGTTAAACTGTGGTAGCTGTGAGGAAGCAACAAAAAATAAAAATGACTTGTGAATACGCACTAAAAAAGTGAGTGGGAACAACAGAAAATTAAGCATTAACAAAAACAAACGGCGAATAAAAATACTTTCACAAAGTGTACGTACATTAATCAAAAGAAAACACAAACATACCTGTTTCACTGGACTATGCTCATGCCGAGCAACCGATGACGGTTGCTGATGACCAGGAAGTGGCGGTAGAAAAGTGAAATCATTACTATCGTTCATGGTCTGAGTTATGCGGCGCACTGCTGGTGATTCAGGCACCTGAATATAATAAATGAAATCATTGTCAATGTTGACACAGAGTAAAACCGCCATCATGGGGGCGAAACTTATGTATTAGGTGAAATCACATTGTGACAAATGCGACAGCAATTGCACTTTGTATACCTAAACGACACCTAAACTCATCCTCCAAATACTTTTAGAATCAATAATAGCCTACTTCAATAAGAAAGCCAGTGCAGGGTCAGTTTGAGTAAAATGGGAAAACCAAGCCTGATGTGACACATAAGCTTCCCTTCGAGAAAAGGATTCCAACAATGAGAAAAAGCACCTTCACCGTTCGTCGTGTTGGCTGCGGGCTTTCAAGGCGTGACGCTGAACCACGAGCTGGTAGTGGTGATGCTGATGAGGATGGCGATTGAATCATACGGCGAACAACCATCGGCGAAGCAGCGTCAAGAATCCGCTTGGAAGGACTCGTGACCGGCGGTTGATGGAGGAATGGATGATTGAAAAAATCCTCTGAAACGCATTGGCATGCGAAATGATCAATTACAAGTACGAAAAACACTATAGGGAAATGTTAAGCGGAACGATCGTTTGTCTCACCGAACGTTATACGATCTTTTGCGTTCCTTTTCAATAGCCGAAGAAGGAGATCTCTCAATGCTGGTGAGCAGTAGTCGGGAATATTAGGCTTCAGCTCCCGATTCTTCTCATAATATGCTTTCAGCTGCGGAGGGTTTTGAGCCTTGAAAAATGAATAATCTTGCTTCGAGAAGTCATGACCAGCATTCCATTTTGCTCAGTGACAAGTTCTCAAGAACTGCATAAAAAGTTGTGAAAAAAAACACAAAAACAAACCTGAAACGGTGCTTTTCCCGTCAAACACTGGAAAAGTATCGTACCAATAGACCAAAGATCAGCTTTGGCGTCATATTGAAGTGACATGATGACCTGAAATTGACTTTACTCATGAAAGCAAGATGAAAAGAACTCCAATTGAGCTGCAAAAATGAAATCCAAAGCAAAATTCAAATTCAATAAAAAGAATCTAGTGAGCTGATGAAAGTTACTAACCTCAGGAGCCATGTACATAGGAGATCCACATAATGTCGCCGCCATGACTCCTTCAGAAAGAAACCGGGCGAATCCAAAATCAGCTAATTTGATAATCAGCTCGCTAGCTGGTGGATTTGATTGGCGTGTAGGATTGCATAGTAAAATATTCTGCGGTTTGAGATCACGATGAACAATGCCTTCCTTGTTAATTGCTTCCAATGCTCGAGCTTAAAAAGGGTTTTATTGTTACTGCTTGCCAGCAACACCACTAGTTTAAATCAGTGGTAAAGTACATTCATTAAATGGATTAAGTTGTTCAAAATCGAATGAGCAAGAATGGTCCCTAACTGCAGAACTCAGGACAATTTTATGCGCTCCATACCAAAGGCCTGCAAAGCGCAACACATTCTCTTTCAAGTGTTTACTCACCTATCTGAACAACAAAATGATGGATAGTATCTTCTTGTAGAGTGGTTTTTTGACTGAGGTAATCAGCTAAGTCGCCTCCATTGCAAAATTCCATCACAAGGTAGACATGTGTCGCTGTTTCTGTACATTTCAGCAAAGCTACGAGATTTGTGTGTTGCAGACCGCTCAAAGTCTGAAAGAAGGCTTCGAAAAATCACAATGTGTTGAACGCTCAGTCAACAGCAATTCAATGAGAGTTAAAGGTTTGCAAAAATTCTGCTGGAAAACATGCTACGCAAACATATCAGGTGATCGAAAGCAATGAATGATGAGCGTACCTTTAATATTTTTATCTCCTTTGTGAGCAGATTCTTTGATTTCGCGATATTCTTTTTTGCAATCGCTTTGATCGCCACCGGAACATCTGGTCTCTTGAAATAAAATACTTTGAGAATAAGTAGAATGTACAAATATCTCAAAGATACTTTGTATTGAATGTTTTTGAAAATCCAAACCAAATCTCTCGCAACCTTCTATTTCCATCTATTACGATAAGCCTTTTCTATCAGTCAGAGTTAATGTAAAACAAGAAAGGCCTGGAGGGAGGGCTGGCAATTTCGAGGTACTACTTGAAAGACAAGTTGAAGGGGGTAGCCAATTTTAGAACAGATAATGGAGACACGCCCACTCTTTTCAACGCTAGCACCACTCTGGTCACTGCTTGCTTTCAGTACTGTTGGTTACCAGACTTGTCAGATATCAAGAATGGATGAACTGCAATCAACTAATCTTCGCCTTATTAACTGAAAAAAAGGCTATAAGATGTAATTTCCAAAATTTCCAAAAAAAATATTTCCACCTATTGCTAAACCCCTGTAGCTTGCACTTTTAATGGACATAATCGTGGAGTATGAACGCATGCTTATAGTCTTTCCAGCTGACTGACCCCAGCACAGCGCTCTTTTTTTTCTTGGATAAAGAACATCGATGAAAACAAGGACCTGGACGCCCCTACAATGCCACGAGAAACAGCCAGCCGCACGGCTGTCACAGCCGCCGAGCCCCGGGGCGAACCCGATACGATTACATTTCAAGAAAGACCCTCAACTACACCATTAAGAAGAAGAGAGTGTGATGTGTTGTGTCACCTCTGCCAAAACAGTTGCTTAGCGGTGACAACGTCACAGCAAACATATTTTGTTAAGTGACTGTAAAAGACCACTGTAATGGCCGCGCTACTGACAACAAAAACAGCTATAGCTCGCTAGCAGCTGACAGATCCAACTAATTATGAATGGCTACAGCAATTGAATTCATTATTCAAATAGGAGTTACTACAAAATCAAAATGGAACTCACATCTGAATACTTCCCCTTATAAACGATTGCAAACGCGCCATGACCTATCACATCCTTTGTACTGTATTCGAAACCGTCGAATTTTTCGGTCATTTTGCGTGAAAATTCGCAGTCACGTCATGAAAGACCTGCAAAAGAAAAAGTTGCTGGATGGTAAATGACAACTAAGCATAAAGAAGTCGTAGAAGAGTAATGAAGAACACATGATTTCGAAATGAGATATCGGAGAATGAAGAATTTGAACAACAACTCGTTCTGAGCAAAACAGCAGAACACAGGGCAAGATGGAGGAAACATGAGAGCGCATCTTTAACATACGAGGAAGCGATGAGGTGACCCCATGTGAAAGATCCATCACCAAAGCTCCTGCTCAAAAGCGATAGTGCTCGCCAGTAACGGATAAATTACGCCACTACTCCGAGGCCACAAGACACTCTAGAAAGGCCGTATGAGTGGTCAGACAGACCTCCAAGGGAAGTGAAAATGGAGAGGCAGTAAAGCGAGATGCGATCGGTCGAGAAAATAGTCGGTTCGCGGGCGGAGGAGAGCCAGGCCTCACTACAAAGGATTTCAAAGTGTTGCCGTTGCCTTTTGTACCATGTCCTGGAGCGTACTATCTCCTCTAGAAGAAATTCAATTCAATCAATTACGAAATTCAAGCTCAGCAAATGATACTGCACTGCAGCTTCGGGAGGCCTTTTTAATCTTGGTAATACTTGGAGCACGTAGGTTGACTTCTACAAGACCTCTTGCGTCTATATCTCGTGTGGCCACAATTGTGAATGGAAGTGGAATGAGTGTCGCATTTCGGAACAAGATTGGACTCATTCTTTTGTTTCATGGAAAAAAAAATAATGAGCATAAGGCCTCAGTAGGTCTGGACAAATTTGAAAGTTAATCATATAGCGTACCGCCCTCGTGTCCGTGTTTTCGTGTTCTTTTTCTTATATTTTCTCGTCAATAACCATTAGCCCATCAGAAGTTTCGTTTATCGACTATGACTGTATTCTTGATCGTATAGCGTATGCGATATTTTTGGACATGAAAAATGTCAAACCAGGTCAAGCGAAACGAGCCCCTCCTTTGTTGATCCCTAAAAAGCAAAATTTTGCACATTGTAAATGATTTTTTTTTAGTTTTGCTTAAACTTGAAACAAGTTATGTGTGATGCAACAACTTAGAAAAGAAAACAATTTTCCGTAACGGAACCATTTTTGGAATATCAGTTAATCAATTAGCTTCTACGGCTAAAACGAAAGACTCACATGTTTTTTTAACTACTTTGCGATTTCTTTTTTTTTTGAAGTTTGCAATAATTATTATAACAGGTAAGTTGATAAGCATCAGAAAGAGGGCATTTAGTTCATATCGCACAATTGCTTTTATAAGAAGTTGCTTCTGAAGAAAGCTTCGGCTCTTGAAATGGTAATAACTTGCAAGCCTTGAAATCCGCATTACTGAGGATAAGTCATTTCTCATTATGCAGCATGCATCGATATAAACCAGTGATTCAAGGCTTCGATGAAGGTTTAAGAACGAGTACGATCTTCAGCATATATTCGAAAATAGGGTCTACTCCACTTAGGGAGGGGAGGCTTCCCCGGGTGTGGTTCGCTAGGACAGAAAGCGACTTTTTCGCGTTTCGCAACGCGAAGCACTTTTCGCTGCAGGAACTCCAAGTCCACTCATGGGGCGGTATTCAATCCTTCCCCCAGTGGGATATCCTGATTCAATCCTCCGGGGGGGACAGAAAAGGGTGCGTCATAGGGTTTACGGACTACTTGAACTCTCTTAGGTCTCCACGAATTGGACGGAGGGCACAGACAGTGTAAGACGGCGCCTGGCTGGCTCCAAGATCCCATTGGGCGGTGTGCAGGCAAGCCCCACTAGAGGGATGTGATCCCCAACTTGCGGGATATGTCCCCAGGTTGGCGGATGTATCCCAACTTGCGACATATCCCAACTTTGAACGATTAGTTAGAATGTTCAAAGGGGTTGGAGGCTATGGAGGATTATCCCAACCTTTGACATTTCTACGATCGTTCAAGGGTTGGGGATATGTCTTTCGGGACATATCCCAAACGTTGGGGACATATCCCCAACCTTGGGGATCCCTCCCCTCACCCAACTAGGGGAGGGATCCCCAACCTTGGGGATGTATCCCCAAGGTTTGGGGACATATCCCCAACCTTGGGGACATATCCCCAACCTTGGGGATACATCCCCAACCTTGGGGATACATCCCCAACCTTGGGGATACATCCCCAACCTTGGGGACATATCCCCATCCTCGACATTCTACGAATCGTTCAAGGGTTTCGTCGCAGGACCCAGTGCTTCCGCACCTCGAAGGCTCACGGACCATTAACACGTTGACGACAGCGCAGGACGCATACGTCCCGCCTTTTGCAGGCCACGACGGACAACGCGGGACGTATGCGTCCTGCACCCAATGCACTCATTTATTTTCGCGCACACGTGATTCATTTATAGGTCTCTTGTATCCATTCTATGGAGCAAACCTTAGCATAGATACAAACATAGCGGCTCCCAGAATGTGGTCACCTATGCTTCACTTTGGAGGAGGTTTTCTGAAAACCGCAGTCTGGTTGATTTTTTGTTTGCATTTTCTTTTCATTTAATGTGAATGTCGAAATAGTGGTATAAGTCAATACGGAACCTGAACGGGACAAGATATGTTTTGATTAGAAACATCGATGCTAAATTGCCTTTGACGCCCAATGCAGGCAATTCAGACAAATTTTGCTTTTTCACCGTTACTTCATTCGTATTTCGATAAATTCTTACTACTGCACCTCTAGGGCGTTTCTGCAGACTGAAAAATACTAATCTGATTCCGTATCAATCTTGTTTTTTACATTTATCACGCAAAATTCGCTCGATGGACCTGAGGCGGCGGCGCTCGCAAAATCGCGCCGGTCCCACGCGGTCAAGGTAGGTTTTTAACTAATTAGGTGGGGAATGGTGTGGCGCCAAACTGGCGCGAACGGGCGTCAGCGTCAAAAGCGATTGTCATATTTGTGATCAAACCACCGGACTACCCCCTCAACCCAAGTTTCAAAGATATCTTTTTTGCCTTGGGGTTCAGTGCAATAGTCTTAAGTAAAAAATGCCTTTTCAGCTAAATATCTAATATGTCACTATCCCAGTATTCTGTCGCCTACCAGCCTAACTTCCGAATTCGTGAACTATGAAAGCGGCCACCCTCAATCCCTTGGGAATCCAGCAACTCCGATGGACTGGGCATGTTTTCAAAAAATTCCATTGTTTTCTTGATTTTCAAGGAAGTGGCGAGTTTTTTTTATTTATTCATTTATTTATTTATTTATTATTTATTTACCTACTTATTACTTTTGTTATGTCCTCCAATGACGCGCTCTTACACATAGGGTAGGAAAGGTGAAATAAACCCTGAATAGATGCCAAATAAACAAACAAACAAGAGGATCGAAGCCTCATTAGAAAACAGCGAATGAACAAAGGCAAGGTAATGACGAAAAAAGAAGAGCGAATAACGAAGCGAAACAAAGGGTGAAAGAACCCGAAACAGCCTTCAACTCTCCGCGTCGCCAAGTGAGGGGACGAATCCCCCTAGTCTCGACTAGGGGGATATATCCCCTGCCTGCAGAGACGCAGAGGGTCGACGGCAGTGACCGTCCCGCACGGTTGCGTCATAGGAGCCACCGAAAAACGATGGGTCTTGCGACGAAGTAGGGGATATATCCCCAAGGTTGGGGATATATCCCCAAGGTTGGGGATATATCCCCAAGGTTGGGGATATATCCCCAAGGTTGGGGATATATCCCCAAGGTTGGGGATCATATCCCCAAGGTTGGGGATCCCTCCCCTCCCCAAACGAGGGGATGGATCCCCAACCTTGGGGATATATCCCCAACCTTGGGGATATATCCCCAACCTTGGGGATATATCCCCAACCTTGGGGATATATCCCCAACCTTGGGGATATATCCCCAACCTTGGGGACATATCCCCAACGGTTGGGATCCAATCAAGGTTTTGGGATCTCCCTCGTTGGGCTTGCTGCACCCGAGCCCCAGGGACGGAAGTGAGAGCTCTAGGACTAAGCCTTGTAGGAGGGAGGGACTTCGAGGTGGGTGAGCCGACTAAAGTGTGGCAAAAGTTTGAATGTGTGTGATCACAATGGCTATGAGTCCGCTGATAAGGCGAGAGAGCGCAGACGAAGATGGATCTGAGGCGGCTTAAAGGACCAGGGTGCAAGTAGTCCGTCAACCCAACACAGGAACCTACCATGCCTTGTGTTTGCCTACCCTGACCAGGACAGTTAGAGCATCGCCGACCCCTTTTAGAGCAGGAATGGACTCGGCAAAGAGGGGTAGTCGCGCTGCCTCGAACTGGTCTGGCAAGGTTAGAAACACAAAGATATGGTAGGTCTTATCACGCAACTTTTTGTCCCCTGGAGGATTGAATCAAAGGAGGGAATACATTCCCCTGGGGGATGGATTGAATACCGCCCATGATCAGCTGTGGACCTATTCCTGCTCGGACCAGACTTCATATATGGGATGATGGAAGTTTTGATAAGAATAAAACGATGTTACGGCACGAAACCTTCCGCAGAGGAAAATTACCTAAAAATGTGGGAAGACAGCGTCGATCTTGAGTGGAAAAATGAATATCAAAAGTATAAAGCATAGCAATAATCTTGCCCTTCTTGCATAGCGCCACGCATTTCACTTCCATTCCGAATCGCAGTAAAATTTTCAAAGCGATTTAACTAAAAAATAAATTGTGGAGGGGGTAAGTATAGGTAAGAAAGACAAGGGTAAAGCGGACTATTGCGAGTCACTACTTTTATCCTCGCAGACAATTATCCCCCCGGTAGCAATAAGTGATCTCAGAGAGATATGAAGGCTTGGTTGCATAGGCCAGAGCTCAACCCAAGATCTGATTCTTCGGGAATCTTTTGCGCGGTGCAAGCCACATCAGTTGCCAGGCACCTTACGGGATCATACCTCGAAGGCTGATTGGGCGTGTCACCGGGAATGACGTGGCAGCCACCGCACTTGATAGAAGTTGCGCGGATAAGCTGC